CACGCAATGAACTACATGGCCTATGAGCACAGGCAAAATTTTCTGTGATAAGTTAGTTTCCTTATTCTGATAAAATTCTATATTGAAACAATATCTTGACATCCTATATATACCTAAACACACTCATAACATAGAGAACCTCCCTTTCGACCTAAAAATCTTATATTCTATGTATTTTGGAGGCGAAAAAAGAGTCCAAGCGTCAAGATATAGGCGGATTATACAAGTTTATTGAAGAATATTCATCCCTTTTCAAAATTTAAGCCAAGAAATTGGATTTTGCCACTTTCTTCATTATTTCTTCTTTCCGGGTGATGTTTTTCCAATATTTCTTGTATAATTTAATCATTAGACTTCTAAGCTAGTTTTTCTATTGTATTGGATGAATAATGAACCTTATTGCATATTTGTTTTGATTTAAGACTATTAATTTAGTTATTTCTTGATTCTTGATTGATTTTGCATACACATTCCATTATTTAATTGATTGGAAAACAATTGAATAATTAGTTGCTTGTTGTAGTGTTGAAAAACTTACAATAAATTTAGAACACAGCAAAATTAACGCATGTAGAGAGAATTTGGAATGATGTTTATCACATATGTAATCACATAGATAACCTGTATTTAATGCATTTTGGTTATGTGAATTCGAACTAAGAATAGGATTGGGCGCAATTAAAATAGACTTAATTTGTCTTGAAAAAAAGAATTAAATACACTAGTGTTATCGATTGTTACGAAAGCATGAAATTGACTATATTACGAATCAAGAATTAAAATAAATGGCAATAGGGAAATTCAAAATCCAATACAATCATTCACATATTCGACAAAACAATTTTTTCATTGCTTTCTTAGTTTAGAATTAGTTTAAATAACAATAAAATCATACCTTTTGCGTCACAAACATCGAATTTAGAAATAACTAGTGAACTAAAATTAAATATTATTCATTGTGGGACAATAACTCACAACTCACTTCATTATTACTTGTCAACGATCACGTACGCTTATGGGGTTCACACCAGAACACTTGCATTCCATGGATTCAGGGCAGACGCAAAAATTTTGAGTTAGAGGGCACAATCAAACTCTGCACAAATCAAATGCTTTGTTCTTGATTTTTTTGAATGATTCATACTTGATCCAAGAAAATACATATTTACATTTAAAAAATATTTCTTCATTAATATTTTGCTCCTCATTTTCATCTATTTGATTAATATTTTCCTCATTACAAGAAAAAGTATATTTACGTTTAAAAAATTTATAGTGTACAAACAATTAATTCAAATAATCGAAGGAAAAAACATATGACCAATATTCAATACTAATAATCAATCAATTAGACACAATTTGTTAAATATAAGTTAAATTGGATGTAGTTAGTTCAGACACATCCTATATACACAAATAGGATATGAGAAAATGCAAATTTAAGTTCTAATTAATTGAAAATTTGATTGGAAAGTAAAAATTTATAGACAAATTTTAAAAATTAGAAAAGTTAAGATTTTGATAAAAGACATGAAAGAGAGAGTAAGATAGAACAAGAGAAATGAGAAAAAAAATTAAATTTATTATAATTTTACCCCTATTTGTTGGAGATTAAAGTCATATTTTTAGTAAATTTTGATAAAAGTTAAAGATTTAATGAAATATATTATTAAAATTAATTGTTAAATATAATTTATATCAAAATTTAGATTTCAATAGATGGCAAACAAGACTTCATTTTTTTTTTTTTTTTAAATAAACATGTTGGGGGGCACGTGGCCGCTTTAGGTCCACCTCGATTGCAATTTAGGCGACAATTAAATAGAAGAATAATGTCGTTCATATTCGTATTTAATCTATGCGACAGTGGAGTCATTGTCATTTTTCAACAAATGAAAGTGTATTTCAACTATATTGAATAGTATTATGACATTGACATTAGCAAATATAGATGGGAGACGAACTCCATTAAAAATGAATAATATTACTCAATATAACGATTTTTTATTCATGTAGCATTTAATAAATAAATGACATGGTTCACATTGCGTCTTCGTATGATCATTAATTTAAAAATAATATTATTTATAGTCGCTCATTATA